TCATCTCAGTTCTCTTAAGGACTAAGTCGTGTCCTTTTTTTTGTAGCATGTGTCTGTTGAATGAGTGAAGACTTCACATTTTTAAATTGGTCCCCAAGAATCTTGGGCTCTGTTTTTTAAAATGTTCCAAAAATAAACTGGGCTTGGGGGGCACTGAGTAGAATGTTTTCCACAAACTTTCTCATTCATGACCATCTTTTGGCAGCCTGGTAGGTTGGAAGGTGAGGTGTGTGCTACCTGGAAATGCATTTTGGGCAAGGTGGTCACTGCTTTAACCACCTAGGAGTGTCTGAAAATGATGACCACTCCAGTCTACTGGAGAGGTCACTGAGGAGAGGAGCTACAGTGGCTCCAGGTGAGGCTCTTGTGGCCATCAGGGCCCCTTCTCAGGCCCAGAGGTTCCCCCCGCCACACCTGCTTGGGCCTGAGGATGGATGGGAAGCCAGCCCTCCAAGTGGAGGTTTTGGAATTGTAGGTTTTGAGCGAGGTTCCCCAGCGATTGTTAAGAACAGGCGTGTGTTGGGAAACCCTGGCCTTAGAGGGGCCCAGCGTGGTTTCAGAAGCCCAGACACGATGTGTCCACGTGAACCTGCTTGAATCCCAGCTAGTAGTGCAGGGAGTGGCAGTGTTCCTTACCCACAATGGGCAGGTGAAGTACAGCACCTGTGTCCCCTCTCGGTGAGACTTGCCACACCCTGAGCTACTTCCTGGGGCGTCACCTCCCTGTTTCCCCCTCGGCACTTGCTGGCCACCTGGAGTCCCTGGACCCGGCATTTCGCTGTTACACCCGGAGTTGCCCGTGGACTGTTTGGTTGGCTTCGTGTGCGTGGGGCCCATTGCTGGAATTGCTGTATCTGACAGGAAGAGAGGACCTGGGGCCCGGCCCCAGGCACAGCGTGGCCTCCTGCGGCAACACTGCCCCCCTCTGTGGCAGACACTGCTCTGCACTCTGCCCACCAGGTTTGCGGGGCAGTGTTAATGCACATTCCTGAGTCCCGCCCCTAGAGTCCGACTCAGTTGGCCTGTGTGATCCCGACCTGCAGCCAAAGCCGAGAGCCTCTGACCTGGTCACGAGAGTCAGCTGGAAAGTTTATTAGGAACACAGGTCCCCAGGCCCTGTCCGGAGTTGTGATTCTGTGGGTTTGGGGGACTAGCCCAGGCCTGTGCATGTGTGTGAGCCTCCTGGCCACTTCTGGGCCAGGTGGGCCCAGCACACTGGGGAGCCAGCTGGGGAGCCCCAGGGCGCCGGGTCCTCCCTGCAGCCTCTCAGCGTCTCCCCACTTCACCCCAGGGAGGTGGTGCTTGGGAGCAGGTCATCAACTCTTTTTTTTATGGGCGTCAGGGGTAGCCTTGCCCTGCACATGGCTGAGTCTGTCCACTCTGCCAGCTGGGTCCTGCCTGAGCACCAGCAGGTACAGGCGGTGCCTGGGTTCTGGCCCCCTTAGGCATTAGATGCGGCCCCCACCCTCCCATGCAGCTCATATATGGTGGGGATTGTTGGGGGGACCCCAGTGAGCCTTGTACTTGCCCTGGGGAACCACAGCTGGGAGAGCCCCTCAACCCCAGTCCCCTTTGCAGCTCCCTGGGCAGAGCCTCAGCGTGACAGTGTTGCTTTTAAAGGTGAAACATGTAGCCCGGCAGAGCCTCAAGGTGCTGCCCGCCGTGCGGGTGCAGAGCTGCTCCTTCACCTCGGCGTCTGTGTTGCAGGGACTGTTTCAAGGCCTTTTACGTCCACAAGTTCAGGGCCATGCTGGGGAAGAACCGGCTCATCTTTCCGGGTGAGAAGGTAACGTCTGGGTCCTGGGGTCTGACTGAGCAGCCTGGCCCTGAGGCTTCTGCTGTCCCTCCCACACGTGGCCTGGATGCCACAGCCCTGCAGCCCCTCCTTGGGCTTTGGGGTGGACTTGTTGTCTGGGGCTGTCCACGAGGTGGGGCGGACACGCGTGCCAGAGACGTGTTCAGTGCTGTTCTCCCCCAGGTGCTCCTGGCGTGGTCAGGGGGCCCTTCGTCCAGCTCCATGGTCTGGCAGGTCCTTGAGGTAGGTCTGCAGCACCCTCTGGGCCCAGGTTGCCAGGTGGAGCTTCAGGGCGAGGGGACTCTCGGAGCTCTTAGCAATGCCCCAGTTTAGCGCCGTCTGTCTGCTCAGCCTGCACAGCAGTGCAGTTACTGGAAAACACTGGCTGCAGCTCAGCCAAGTATGACCTGGGGAGGGGAGGGGAGGGAAGGGAGGTTGCCAGGTAGAACGGGGAGCAGCAGTGTAGGCCAAGGGTGCGGCGCGTGGCGGGGGAGGGGGGACTCAGGCTGCACATGGGCGTGCCCGAGGGTGGTGCAGCTGTGCCCTGGCGCGTCCCGGGGCAGCTCGGGATGTCCAAGGCAGGTCTCTCCACACTCTCAGTGGTGGGTACTGACTGGAGGAGGCTGTGGCCACGGGAGGGTGGGCAGGATGAGAAGGGAGGGGTCAGTGGCCCAGGATGGCACCCTGTGTGGCACTTATGTGGCTGGTTTTCTGCTCTCACCTTAAGGTCCCCTGCACCTGCCTGGGTGGTGTCGAGGTAGCCCCCTGCCCCCACACTTGTCCAGCGCCTGGCACTGTCCTCCTGTGCCCGGCCACGCCCTGCCCTCTGCACATTGTTACTCGCGGCTCCTCAGTCCAGGGATGACCGAATGGTCAGGTGCCTGGGTAGGCGGCACGCTGGCCCCCATGGACCCAGCTTCCTCTTTTGGGGCATCGCTGGGACGTCAAGGACAGGCTGGTGAGGGGCGACCTGTGAGGTTTCTGCAGATGGGGCTTTTGCCCCGGGGGAGGGAAGACCCCATCCGTCAGACTGTGCAACCTTGCCTTTGGGGCCTGCCTCGCACCAGGTCCCAACGGCCTTGCCTACGAAGTGGGGTCACTTTACCTTCTAGGAGGGCACGAAATCCCGATGAGAAACTTTCTCAGCCGGGAAGTATCCGTGGCTTGTGGCTGGGGACCACGTCTCTGACACTTCTCCCCCCAGGGCCTGAGTCAAGATTCTGCCAAAAGACTGCGCTTTGTGCCAGGGGTCATCTATGTTGACGGTACGTGTGGCTGTCACTCCCCCAGGAACCCAGTTGCCTGGGGTGGGCCCCGCGGACCCTCCGTCTGGTAGGACTCGTCGAGAACTGCTGGTGCCGTCCCCACATTGAGGCCCTGGTGGGGACATTTCCCTGAAGTGGACGATGGATGTGTCCACCGTCAGACGCACCAGCGTCCCTGGGTCTCAGCCCATCGTCAGGAGGTCTCGGGGGGTGGGAGGAGTGGCATGCAGCCCCTACCACGGGGCCCGGGGACTGAGAAGGGCACGTCCTGGTGACGAGGGCAGGGTGTGCAGGGGCCGGGTGCCGCTTCCCCAACCCTCGCTGCTGCGGGACAGCCACAGGAGAGAGCCCTGCCTGCTCTGAAAACACTCCCCGAGGAAAACAGCATCCTTCAGTTTTTACAGAAACCGCCACACCCCGTGCAGCCTCAGAGGACGTCTCCCTGTGGCGGTGGCCCTTGGTCCCCCCGCCTGGGCTCTTCTGCCAAAAGCCAGGATATGCCACCTCATCCTGCTGGTTTTTCAGAGGGAGCAGCCTGTGGCCAGAGCGCAGAGGACAGAGCAGAGACACTGGCCCAAGTGAAGCTGGTCCTGCAAACCGTCGGATTCCCGTGGCACTTGGTCGCCTTAGAGGAGGTGAGTCAGCCTGTCCCTGGTGGTGACCTCTGGGGCATCCATTGGGGGGCACATGCCTGCTCACTAGGCCAGCCCCGGGCCTCTGTGTCCTTGTGTGTTTGTGAGGGTGGGTACAGGCCTTGGCCTCACCGCCCTCTCCCACGTCCCGAAAGGTGTTTGGCCTGCCGCCGTCGGTGCTGTGCTGCTCTGTCCCGGAGCCGACAGGGGCCGAGGGGGCCTACAAGGCGGCCGTGGACAGTTTCCTCCGGCAGCAGCACGTGCCTCAGGGTGAGGGCGCCCAGGACGGCTCTAGCCCGGCCCAGGAGCAGGGGCAGCTGTGCCAGCCCCCCATGCAGAAACCCCTGGGCCTCCCGAGCCTGGCAGGGTCACCTGCGGCTGCCCAGACGGAGGCTCTGTCCAGACTGTTCCACTCGGTGAAGACGCTGACGGCCAAGGAGGAGCTTCTGCAGACCCTGCGGTGAGCGCCGTCCCCACCCAGTCGTGGCACCACCCCCCACGGTCTCTAAGGACCCCGCCGTGGGGTCCTGGCCCCCCGGGCCTCTGAGGCAGTCTGCACTGCAGGACCCACCTGATCCTGCACGTGGCCCGAGCCCACGGCTACTCCAAGGTGATGACTGGGGAGAGCTGCACCCGCTTGGCCGTCAAGCTCATGACCAACCTGGCGCTGGGGAGAGGGGCCTTCCTGGCCTGGGACACGGTACGCAGGCGCCCCACCCTCCTCCTCCAGTCCTGGGGTCTTCCACACGGAGGCGGTGGGTGGAGGGGAGCACACTTGGGCCTCAGCCACACAGGCCCCGCCTCCCCCAGGGCTTTTCAGACGAGCGGCACGGGGACGTGGTGCTGGTGCGGCCCATGCGGGACCACACCCTGAAGGAGGTCGCCTTCTACAACCGCCTGTTTGCCGTCCCTTCAGTCTTCACGCCGGCCATCGACACCAAGGTGAGCTACAGGGACCAGGTGGGAGTGGTCTCCCCTCCACAGTATCAGAGGTCGCCAGTACACCCCCAGTGACCGGAGCCATGGTCTCTGTCAGTGCCAGTAGCAGCATTCCCCAGGGTGGGCTGCTGAGCACACCCTGGGCCTTGGAGGGGCAAGAGGCAGCTGCCCTGTCCCTGAGAGGGATGATGGGCTGTCATGATGCCCCTGCAGACAAACTGCAGTGGTGGGGGGGGGGTCATCTAACTGTCCCTCCAGCCCCTACCAGGGCAGACTCAGGGTCTGGCTTGCGGAGCCCCTTGCCTGGGGCCACATACAGCCCTTTCTCGCTGTTCCAGGCCCCCGAGAAGGCCAGCATCCACCGGCTGATGGAAGCCTTCCTCCTGCGGCTGCAGACCCAGTTCCCGTCCACCGTCAGCACTGTGTACAGGTGCGAGGGGGGGGGTGTGTGTGGCTGAGCTGCCACCTGTGCTTGGGCCTGGGATGGAGCAAGGCTGTACTGAGTGACCTGCCCCCACCCGCTGCAGGACGAGCGAGAAGCTGGCCAAGGCGCCCAGGGACGGCCGTGCTGCTGGACCCCGCTGCCTCCTCTGCATGTGCGCGCTGGACGTCGACGATGCTGGTCTGTGCCGGGTCTTTGGGGTGACAGTAGGGGGAGTGGGTGTTGGGGTTCAGCAGCCCCAGGGTCCCCTCAGCCTCTCTGTGCTTACAGACAGTGCCACGGCCTTTGGGGCTCAGACTTCACCGCACTTCTCCCCGATGCAGCCGCCCGCTGAGGCCAGGCCCCCCCCAGCACCCTGCTGCGTTCCAGGGGTGGGCAGGGCCCAGGGCTGCTGCAGGGGGGCCTGCGGGAGGTGAGTCCCTGCCCCTGGCAGCTGCACAGAGGGTGGGGGGACCACGCCCGGCCCGCACTGAGTTGCCAAGGTGGGGCACACAGCCAGCTCTGTTTCTGCAGGGAGAACCCCCACGTGTGCGTCATCGAGCAGCTGTGCTACGGCTGCCGTGTGAACATGAAGGACCTGGTGAGTGGGTGCCCCCAAAGCTGGCAGGGCTGGGCTCAGGGTACGGACGACCTTCCCCTCCCAGGTGGCTCGGGCAAGAGGACCACGCAGGGGCGGGTTCCGTGGCCGCACGGCCCCTCACCACGCTGGCTCTCTTGCAGCCCTCCCTGGACCCCCTGCCTCCCTACATCCTGGCCGAGGCCCAGCTCCGCAGCCAGAGGTACCAGCACCCCTCCTGGGAGCCCCTTCTGGGCGAGAGCTCCTGGGGGCTGGTTCCCACTGCGTAGCTTCCCCCGCAGAGCCCACGTCCTGCAGGAGGTCCAGGAGTATCTGATCGTGGACAGCGACGGGGAGGCCACTGAGAGCTGAGCCTCAAGGACTTGAGTGCAGGGACAGCAGGCACCTGCCCCAAGGAAGGCAAGGTGTGGGGGTCCCTGTGGTCATCTGTATAAATAAAAATGTTTTTAATTAGAAAACTCTACAGTACACAAAGGGAGGGCCAGGCCCATAGGGCCACCTGGGCGAGGGGACGGCGCGGCAGCACCACATGGGCGGTGGGGACACAGCGTCCTTCTGACAGCAGCATCAGGGCTCAGGTGGGCCGGGAGGAGCGGTCACAGCTGCTCCCCAGCCCCGGGAGTGCTGCGCACGGTGTGGCCGCTGCTCCTACTCCTTCTCTCGGGTCCACTTGATCATGGTCTCCGGCGAGCGGTACAGGAAGATGAGCTTGGCGTACAGCTCCTCCTCCAGCTCCAGCTCGCGGGTCTCCCGCACCAGGAAGATGTCCTGGCACAGCTTGAGAATGCGGTCCACGCACGGCAGCTCCTCGAACATGATGGAGTGTGAGATCTCGCTGAAGAACCCGCGCACAAACTTGCCGATGACCAGCACGATGGACACGTACAGCCCCATGATCCTGCCGGGCGGGACGGGGGTGAGTCCTGGGGCTGCCTGGAGCCCCCCACCACCACCACCACCGAGCCGCAGGATGTCCCTATGCTGCACACTCACCCGTAGCCAGCCAGGAAGCCGAGGCTCGGCGGGCTGACCTTGTCACTGAAGATGACCATGGGCAGCAGGTTGCAGTCAGCCTGGCAGTCCTGCAACTCGATGACCCACCACTCGAGGAAGCCGGTGGTCCCTGTGCCCACGCGTTCCCTCCGCAGCTGGAGACGCACGCCAAGGTAGTCGGCCTCTTCATCTGTGTCAGAGCCAGGAGGCAGTTGGGGCTGGGGCTGGGGCTGCCCCTCTCAGGGCCCAGGTTGCGTCCTGCCCACCCGCCGTCCCCACACTCACCAGGCTGCAGCTGCTTCACCGGGTTGGCTTCGGGCCCGTTGGGGGCACGGATGTACTTAGGGAAGAGGTTGGGGATGACCCTGTGGGGAAGAGCCGGCAGGTCAGGCCCAGCCCGCCCTCCTGCCCACGCGCGGCCATGCCCCCGGCCCACTCACACGGACTGGTCCGAGGTGCCCTCCAGCAGGCTGGCCAGCTGCAGCCGCGCAGTGCTGTTGGGGGCCAGGTCCAGGGTGTGCTTCTCGTTGGTGTACTCCACGGTGCCGCCCTTGGCCAGGTCCCTGCAGGGGGCACAGTGTGACCCACCAGGGCCAGTGCAGGGCATACGCCCCGGGCCCGCCCCGAGTGCGGGACACACCTCTGGAAGTTCCAGGTGAAGCGCAAGGTGATGTCAGCAGTGCCGTTGTACAGCTCCCGCTTCATCTGGGCCCGGCTCGGGGGGCTGATGCGCCACAGCGCCCCGGAGCTGCCCTCAATCTGTGCAGTGACGATGTCCTCGGGGCTGTACTGGCTGATGAACTGCATGGCCAGCTGGGTGCAGGTGGCCCTTGTCAGGGGCATGCAGCCAGCCACCTCTTCCCCCCACAAGCTGTCCCCTCCTCCCAGGCAGCGGCAGGGTGGAGGCCACTCACCGGGTCGAGGTCGAACTTCCCGGACAGCTCCTCATAGGCCTGGGCAGTGAAGGGGATGATGGACGGCTGCTGCGCGCTCATGGTGAACAGCGGCTGGGGGGACGAGGAGACGGGCTGGGAGCCTGCTGGGACCCGCACGGAGCCCACCAGGGTCCTCGAGGACAGGGGAGGGTGGGGCTGAGCCCAGGTGGCCTGCAGGTGCTCACCTCGTAGCCACCCAGCTTGAGGGTGACGGTGACGTCGATGGGCTGGTTGACAACACCGACCACAGAGCGCACCAGCGACATGAAGAGCAGGGGGAACCAGATGATGGCGATGAGGAAGAGGATGATGAGGCCACCCATGCCGTACTTGACAACCTTCTTCTTCTTCTGCCCCTTGGGCTGCGGGTATTTCTAGGGGGGGATGACACAGGATGAGACAGGTCACCTGCTCAGCTCCGGCCTGGCTCACCCGGCAGCCCACAGTCCAGCCTTGACACAGACCGCAAGGCCACCGTAGTCGGGACAGGACAGGGGTCCAGAAATAAACCCTCACGTTAGGGTCAAGTGGGTTCAGACAAGGGCGTGGGTGGTCTTCCCAACACACGGTGCCGGGACAGCCGGGGAGCCCTGGCCCCACGCATAACCGAGAGTGAAATCTAAAACTCCTATGAGGAAAAGGTGAATCTTCAAGACCTTGGATTTGGCAAAGGACTCTTCGCTGTGCCACAAAACACAGCCGAGGAAAACACACAACATGAGCCACAGACGCCACCAAGAGGCCAGATGACGGCCCATGGCGTAGAGTGACGTGCTAAGGACCAGGCGTGTGAACTCCTGCAATTCAGCAGTTAAAAGATAAGAAAAGTGTACACGGTCTGAAGGTGGGGAGCCATCTCACTCTGTGGTTCACTTACAGATAGAACTTGTTCTGCTACTTTGCCTCCTCACCGCTGCACTTGGCTGGTCTCGAAAGGAAAGTGTCAGAAACAGTCTGAACAGACCTTTGTCTGAAGACATGCAAACGGCCAGCAAGCGCAGGAAAAGGTGCTCAGCAACGCTGGTCACTGGGGAAACGCACGTCAAACCAGCTGCACTGCAGGGACAGCGTCCAGGCCACAGAGCAGGCGGGAGGCGAGGGCGCAGCTGCTGCAGGAACGGCAGCTCTCGGGCATTACGCGCACAGTTAGCACGTGAACCCGCGGCTCTGGGTGTGTGCTCGACAAAGAACACGTCCACACAGAAGCTCGTACTCGGGGTTCTAACAGCAGGATTTGCCACGACCAAGCGGGGACAGCCCCTCAGCAGGTGAGGGGTAAGCCGGTGTGGTCCTTCCACAAGGGGACTCACAAGAACAAAATGCAACCGAGTGCTGACTCACGCAACACCACAGATGAGCCTCAAAGACAGGCTGAGGAAGCAGGTCACGTGAGCACAGACACGACGTGGCTCTGTTTCTGTGAAACGTCCAGGCCAAGCCATAGAGACAGGACATAGGTTGGAGGTCACCAGAGGCTGGGGGTGGGGAGAGGCAACCGGTGGGTTTCGTTTGGGAGGCGACAGAAACGTTCTAAGTTGACTGTGGCGGGGGACGCACAACCCTGTGCCAGAGACCACTGACCCGCACGTTTCAAACCAGTGAATCACGTGATGCGTGAATTCTCTCTCCAGCAAGAACACGGACACAGGCCCGTCCCTGCTGACCCGCGCCTGCCCGACAGTGCCGAGTCCCTGGGGGAGAGACACTCGCGCCTGGCTCTTGCGGGGCGGCCCACCCGGCCCCCACCGCGGGCCCAGATACCTTTTCTGTCTCACGGCTGCACTTGATGATGAAGATGTTGGCGTAGATGTCCTCCACGCACATCCAGCTGGACAGCGACAGCGTGGTGTCCGTCCACACCCAGTCCATCACCGCGCGCAGCTCCACCAGGAACGGCACCAGCCGGAACCTGCCCACAGCCCGGGCTCCCGTCAGCGCGTCTCCCACGCGAGCCGGGCCGCGGGCCGCACCTTGCCCCCCCAGACCCTCAGGCCAGACCCACACGCACCCCTGGAAGAGGAAGAGGTTGAGGTGGTTGTACTTCTTGGTGAGGAAGTTGCCGAGGATGCGGGTGGGGTAGCCGCAGCGGATCTGGTAGGCGGACAGCGCGAAGTAGATGCACTTGACGAAGTACCACAGCTGGGCCACCGCGTTCTGGCTGAACATCCTGGACGGGCAGGTCAAGGGCCCGCTGGGACCGGGCTCCTGGAGGCCGGAGCCCCCGAGGCCCCCAGCCCAGCCTGCACAGTAGGGGAGGGGCAGGTATCCCCCCAGCACCTCCGCGGGGCGCCCACCTCTCGGTGACGGCGGGCAGGATGAAGAACATCCAGAGGTGGATGGCCAGCACCAGGACCACCTGGAAGGCCAGCTTGCCCAGCACGGTCTTGCGCAGGTAGAGGGCGCGGTCGACGACCATGGTGCTGAACTGGATCAGCAGCATGACCAGGAAGGCCTCCGGCACCTGGTCGTCCGACAGGGAGGACGTGATGTCCGTGGCCGCCGAGTGTTTCTGTGGCCGGGAGAGCACAGGTCACTGGGAGCTGCAGCCCGGGGCCCAGCAGCTGCCACACTCCGCCTTCACTGAGGGGTCCCAACCCGGCTCACCCCAAAGGCCCAGAAGCCAAAGATGATGATGATGAAGTCAACAACGTCCGCCAAAAACATGAGAGCGTAAACATCGGTGGCCGCACGGTACTTAGTGTGCAGGATGTCGTGGAAGAAACACCGCAGTGGCTGGTACATGCTCTGGGCCCTGCGGGTGGGTGGACTCAGCTAGGTGCCGCCTGCCCCACTGCCCCCACCGCCCAGCCGCTCCCAGGCCGGGTGACTCACAGGGCCAGGCAGAAGCTCTGCAGCCGGAGCCCGGCTGCCCTCACTCTTTCTCGGGAGCGGCTTGGCTTCTTCTGTCTCCCCGAGGCACCCTCTGTGTTCTCTTCCTCCTCCTCCCCATCCTTAGCTTCTGTGGGGGAGAAGCCACCACTCCCTGAGCCCACTAGCGACTGGGGCCAGCCCAGGGCTCCTGCCCAACCCAAGAGGCCGGCAGGAACCTCCCGGTGTTGGGAGCAGGGGCAGCAGGGGCTGTTTCCCAGGTCGACAGACCTCACCCTGTGTCTCGGGCACCAGGGCCATCCTGGGATCTGGGCAGGCCCTGCAGGGGGCCTGGTGGTCTCTCGGGAGGGAGAGGCCCTCCCCACCCACCTCCCCACGAGCGTGGGGGGCAGCAGCTCCACGCGGAGCACTCGAGGGCTGTGGTCAGAGCTACGATACCGATGGCTGCTGGTCCTTCGGGCCCTGGGCTCTCTTTCTTCCTCCTCAAACGCAGACTGATGTTCCTCGTGCTGCGGGGCTTCTGCTCCGTTTGGGGCTCTGGGGCCCCATCCTCGGCTCCACCCCTCACTTCTACCTGCACGTGGTCCTTGGTGGTGGCCTCAGGGACCCCTGAATCCTCTTGGGGCCCCTCCTCAGCCCCCTGCTCCTTCTTGCTAGTCCTGTCGCACTCCTTGGACAGCGGGTCCTCCTCATGGTCCCAGAGGCCGTAGCACTGCGGGAGAGGGCGGTGAGGAGGCCGGCGGGCGCTGGGCAAGCGCTGCCCACCCGCCACGGCCGCGGCTCACCAGCAGCTGGGAGCGGTGGAAGAAGA